GTGGCCCCCGCCGCCCCCTCCTGCAGCCCCCCAGCCTGACTCCCTGCCCCTTGCCGATGATCTCCAAGCCAGTTTTCAATGTATTGCATAAAAAGATCACATCAGACAATTGGATTTAATCATCCGGGTAAGATTCCACGAGGCGCCGTGTCAAAGGCTTAATTAAAGCCCAGATTCGTTCTGCTGCCCGCGCCCCCTCCGCCACCCAGCCCAGAGTCCATCAGGTTAGCTCCCAGCGAGGCTGCGGCTGGGCACAAGCCACAGGCCACCTGCAGGGGTCCAGCCCGAGCCGGGACACGGCTGTGGCCGGGCAGGAGGGAGGTTGGGGCTCCCCGCTGCCGCCCAGCCCCGCACGGCCTCGCGCCGCTCCTGGGGTCGCTTCCCACTGCACCAAAGGCTTCCACACTCCACTGCAAGTGGGGAACACCATCGTGAGGAAGATGATGCAGGAAAACCACCCGTGAACACGCACGAAGACGTGCCAAAGGAGCGTCAGTGGTGCCCCTGCACCCTCCAGCCAGCCACCAGGACCACACTGTGAGCAAAGCGGGTCCTTCATCCCGTGGGGGCAGAGGAGGAGGATGCGCCGAGCTCTGTGGGTGCGGCAGGAATCGCCCTGTGCCTGGTGCCGCGTGGGCTCAGCCGGGTCACTGCGGCGGCCCCGCGGGAGCTGAGCAGTGCCGGGTCACTGGGCACCCACGGCTGGGCTCGGCCACGCGTGACACGGCCCCGGGTACCTCTCACGGGCGCCCATGTAAACAGGGCGTGAGTCAGCGGCCAAGCCGGCCGTGCGGTTTCCCCACTGTAAATGCTTCCTCTGCCGCGGTGGAAGGAAAGACCAAACCGAGCCTTGAGGGAAGAGCTGGCAGCGCCGTAAAACGTAATGAAATCCTGTGGGGCTGAACTGGGTCCAGAGGAGCTGAGAGTCAGTGAAACCTCCCGGGTCATTAAAGCCTCTCTGGCTCCTGGGAGAGGCTGCGCAGAGGCGCTGCTGGAGGAGGCAGAGCGGCACCTGGGAGGGCAGCGGCTGCTCCGCGACCTCTGGCCTGGGAGCGATGAGCAGGTTACCCGAGGGGACAGCCGGGCCACTGGCCATCCGCTGGCTCCGGCCAGAGCGGGGACACAGATGCCGACGGCACCTGAGTGCATTTCTCCCACCCCCTGCCCAGGGGCTCTTCTGCAGGGGGGTCCCAGAGCCCCGTGCCAGAGTAACCCAGCACTGGCGAGGACAGAGCTCGGCTTGGGGAGGGGTGGGAGCCACCGGCCTCCTGCGCATTGGCCCCGCAACCAGACGCAGCCCCTGCAACCATGTCCCACTGTCCATCCCACAGATGAGGGCGCAGGGATGGACAGACCCCAGGCACAGGCCCGGGCTGCCCAGGGGAAGCCGGGGTGGGATGAGCCGGGGCTGGGCTCAGCCCCCCCGCCGAGGGCCCTGCTGAGCCAGGGGGAGAAGCCACCGACACCACGGAGGGGCTGATCCTGCACGGCCCCAGGTGCCGTCAGGCCGACACTGTCCCTGCAGCCTGACCTCACAGCGCCGTCCCTCACCGGGAGCAGATTTCCACTACAAGCCACGATGGTGACGGTGGCTGTGGCCCAGGGCACGCCAGGCTGCGGCATCCCAGGCCCACCAGCCTGGCAGCCCCGCAGGACCCCGGACCCAGCAGCCGGCGGTTTGGCCGGCGAAGGGCAGAGCCACCACAGGGCACGTCCCCCCGTGGAGCCCCCGTCTGCGCCCCAGCCCGCGTCAGCTGAGGAGCCTGATTGCTTACATAGCCCAGGCTTGCAGTTAGCAGAAAAACAAAACATGTTTTTCACATTAAAATTTCCCTTGAAAAACAATGGTTTAAATCAAGCCTAAGAAAAGTGAAGAATCCAAAAAGAAGAAAGAAGAAAGAAAAAGAAAAGGGAAATTTTTGGTGGAGCCCAAAGCAGCCCCCGGAGACTCTGAACTGCCCCCGAGGCTCCTGCCACGGCTGCTCCCCGCCGAGACGGTGCAGCGGGACATCTCGTGCTACAAGATATGAGATACAGGCTCGGCACCGCTGCCAGCCCCTGCCTGCTGCTGAAATCTGGGAGCCCGGGGCCGTGCAGGCAGCCGGCCGGGGGCCGCGTGCCACCAGCATCCCGCAGCGGTGGCCAGGACGGGGCTCAGCCCAGCCCGCTGCTCACGGGTTATCGGGAGCGGCCGGATAAGCGCCGGGACAGGATCCGGACCCGCAGCCCAGAGGTGCAAGGCTCGGGGAGACGAGGTGGGGGATGTAAATCTCCTGATCTGTCTGTGAGTGAATTCAAAGGGAGACCGATTCAAATCCGCCATGACATGACTGGCTCGGGGCTGGCAGACAATCCCTGCAGTGTTTGTAACAAATCTTGCCGCTTTCCTTTGAGTGGCCTCCAATTTATTAATTAAAATAGGCAATTATATATAATGTGGGGTGGAGGGGAGCGGGGAGACCAGCTGCACCAGTTATTCTCACTTGGCAGGAACCGTGCTGGAAAGCTGCGCCGGCTCCGGGAGGTGCTTGTGCTTTCAAGGGCTGGAGGCAGAGCCTGGGCCTGGGGCTGAGCTCAGAGCTGCCCCCGGACCCCCGCCCGGCACGGCCCAGGCGGGGAGTGGGCTTTGGCTACAGCGAGCGCTTCGTTTAAGAGCCCAGAGGCTGAGAACTTTTAGAAGATGACGTGCCTGAGTCACCGGGGAGTTGGCAGCAGAGCTGGAAGCTGCACCCAGAGTCGCCGGGATGTGCCTCAGGCGCTGGCTGCCCCCCGGCCCTGCAGGCAGGGGCGCTGGGGCTGGGGGGGGCAGCTCCTTCCCAAGTGTCACCGTCCGTCCCTCCGTGCTCCTCAAGGGGAAACACGAGGAGCCAGAGACCCCGGGGTCCCGCAGAGCACCGGGACCGCGGTGCCAGCGGAGGGGGAGTGCCACCGGCAACACGCCCGTGCAACACCGTGGCTGCGGGCAGCAATACCTGCGTGTCTGGGTTGATCCGCACCCGCAGAGCCCGCGCCAGCAGCCTGGCAGGGCTCACCCCGAGCCCTCGGCGCTCCCCGCAGGACACGCCGGCGTGGGGCGGGCCCCAGCGATGGGCTCCTCTGCCCGGTGCCGGCCACGGGGCCACGACGGTGCCACGGGGTGAGTCCGGCCATGCGGCGTGTCGGCTCCCGCCGAGACCGCGCATGGTCAGGACACGCACGGGCACACGCCGGTGCCGGAGCCCGCAGCCGCCCCCCGCCAGTGCCTGGCACAGTGGCTCTGTCTGAATTAAGTAACGTCTCGGGACGTGAGCTCATCGCCAACACCCACAGCCCAGGTGATGCGAGTGGCAGCACCGGGTGCCGCAGGAACGGGCCTGGACTAACTTCTGCTGCACCTGCACGGGCTGCCAGGAGCGGCCCCGGCCCCGGGCCGATGGGCAACCGGCAGCTCCCACCCGGACGCGCCGCTCCCTCCCCTGACACCGGCACGGTCCGGAGCAGCACCGGGGCTTTTTCACCCTTCCAGCAGAGCCCTGGCAGGCCGAACCAGCAGCCCTGTGCCAGCTCTGCTCCCAAACTCCCACAGATTCTGTGGCGGAGGCTGATGCACAGGCATGTGTCCCCCTCCGCAGAGTAGCCCCAGGTGGGATCCCGACTCAGCTGATGGAGCGTCCCACCCCGTCCCGTCCCCTCGGACAGCGGCAGGCCCAGGATATTTCCCGCTGCCCTTCACCAAAACCCTCCCCGTTTCCCTTGCGCTTCCCCCGAGCGGGGACGGCCGCTCTGCCCGCCCGGCTGCCCGGGAGCCGCCTCTGTCTAACGATGAATCGATACTCATTGGGGAGGTGTCACCCCTTCGTCAGTCCTCTCGGAAGAGGGTGCAGTTTGCTCCATTCTGCAGCACCGTGGGAAAATCCTCCCAGCCGCTGGCTTCCCGGGGTGACTCAAATTTGCTCCCGACCAGACCCAGCTCCCTCGGAGGCCGCGGGACCGTGCGAGCCCAGAGGCTGCAGGTTGTGGGGCAGGGCCCGAGTGCCGGAGGAGCTGCAGATCTAACAGGGAGATCTCCACCTGCCTGCGCTCCCCGAGCCCAGGGCGAGGTGGCCCTGGAATGGAGGGTCCTTGCCCTGAGCCACCTCCCCCAGCACAAACACGTCGCCCCAGTGAGCCGCGGGCTCGAGCTCGTCTGGCCGCGGCGCGGGCCCCGCCGGGCTGTCTGGACCCCCCTCCCCAGGGAAGGAGCTGCAGGACCCTGCAGCAGTTTCCTCACCCGTGGTAAATAATTGAGAACGTGTCTTATCGAGAGCTGGGATCGTCAATGAGCGACGCAGCGGCCGCAGATTCGTCCCACAGTTGCAGTTTCCGCGCGATGACCGAACCCTTCCCG